TGCGACTATTCATTAAACAATATCTTTACGTTCGTTTACCGGACTGCATGTTCGAGAAATCTGCTAAAGACAAATCGGTTAAATTTCATCGGATCTAAGGAGACTTCTTCTCTTCCTAGAGGGAAGCAGGTTTGTAATTATGTCAGCAAGCACATATATTTAAGAAGATTTCTCGAACATTCAGATTGGTAGATGAAAATCAATAATTATATTATTTTATAAATAAGCGTATCAACTAAATATAACGTTTAAAGTAATATATATATATATATATATATAAGTGAACATTAAAGTCGAGCAACAGACGGTTTCATGATGATTGCATTTAGCATGAAACAGAGTGTGGATATTTACTTTTATATTGACATACGCTGATATTGAACAATTTATGCCATAAATATTCCATAACATAAAAGGTACTTTTTCATATATATATATATATATAGAGAGAGAGAGAGAATTAGGAGGATTTGAAATAATTAAGTAATTCATCGAGTCTAGAAGAAACCTCAACAGAAAGCACTGTACGGCCGTTTCGTCTTATATCTGGGACTCACCAGCAGTGCGCATTTACTACCGAGAATTGAAACCCTGACAGTTACGCTATCAGGCAAACGCCATACCAACTGTACTAACGGACCTCTGTGAAGAATAGGTAATGAATTAAATATATATATATAGGTCTATATTTCTATAATAATTTAATTTCTTAATATCAAAGTGGGTAAAATCCGTGTAGAGAATCAATTTAAAAAAAAAGGGATCTATAGCTATGGAAAGCAGGAAATATTCGTTTTGTCGATGGAAATGGATCTAATCGAACAAAAGTTTCTCGATATTTTGCTTCAGCAAACCGCAATAGAATAAAATCCTAAGCAAACTGTGCGAAAAATAACAAAACAGTTCAATACAAGTCATAGTTCGATCGTAAAAAATTCTTGGACTCAAAAATGTGCGTAAACTTGGTCAATAGGTCGCTGATCATATGACTGCGTTTCGGCTTAATGAAAGCGTTGACCTCTGCTCGTTATTTGAAGAGCGGAGTTGCCCTTCCTGTTCAGAATTATTACAATTGATGAAAGAGGTGTATTCTATTATTGTAACAAGAAAAAATGTAATTGTCAGCAAATGGGAAAAAAGGACAATCAGTCCCATCCTCCAAATAAAAAGATGATCATATAAATGAGCATAATAGTGGAGCAACGCTCATTGGGGATTCTACGGGTTCCACAATGATAGATAAACAAAAGGCAATTGAAATATATGCTGATTAATAATACAGTAAATTAATATGAAAGATTTGTTAGAAAGAAAATGAAGTAGAGACTGAGATAGATAGATAGATGGAAAATCCACAAACTGAGATAAGCAGATAGATAAACAAATAATATATATATATATATATATATATATATATATATATATATATATATATAGAGAGAGAGAGAGAGAGAAATAAATAAAGATAGTTAGATAGATAAAGAAATAGATAGATAGAAAGAGAGATAGATAATCAACAGACTGAGATAGATAGATAGATAGATAGATAGATAGAAAGATAGATAGATAGATAGATATAGATAGATAGATGGAAAATCCACATACTGAGATAGGCAGATAGAAAATCAATTTTATATATATATATATATATATATATATATATATATATATATATATATATATATATATATATATATAGAGAGAGAGAGAGAGAGATAGATAATAATCAACAGACTGAGATAGATAGAAAATCCATATAATGAGATAGGCAGATAGATAATCAACAACATTTATATATATATATATATATATATATATATATATATATATAGATAGATAGATAGATAGATAGATAGATAGATAGATAGACTGAGATAATAGATAGATAGACTGATATATAGATAGATAGATAGAATAGATAGATAGATAGATAGAATATGGAAAATCCAATCAAACTGAGATAAGCAGATAAGGATCAACAGATATATATATATATATATATATATATATATATATATATATATATATAGTTATTAGTTATAGATAGAGAAATGATAGATAGATAGATAGATAGATAGATAGATAGATAGATAGAAATAATCCAATAACTGAGATAGATAGATAGATAATGATAGATAGATGAAAAATAAATAGATAGATAGATGGAAAATCCACAAACTGAATAAGCAGATAAGTAATCAACAGATATATATATATATATATATATATATATATATATATATATATATATATATATATATATATATATATAGTTATAGATAGATAAGACTATAAAAAATATAGATAGATAGATAGATAATAGATGAGATAGATAGATAGATAGATAATCCAGAACTGAGATAGATAGATAGATAGATAGATAGATAGATGAATAGATAGATAGATAGATAGATGGAAAAAACATACTGAGATAGGCAGATTGAAATCAACAACATTTAGATAGATAGATAGATAGATAATCAAAAGATAGATAGATATATAGATAGATAGATAGATAGATAGATAGATAGATAGATAGATATAAACGTTTTTTCCGATTATCAATGACATTTTTTCGACTCAATATTTTATGAAACCCGCTTTGAAACCTTGCCCTTTAAGTGGGTGTCAATTGCAGGAAGATATTCCGTCAAATGGCTTCATAATTATTAATCTGACTCGAAGGCGGCACTTGTTTGGACAGAGGCTGTTCGTTTATGGCGCAAAATGTTGAACTGACAGATGTGTGAAAGGGGGCAAACTGGAATAATGGGCGTATTTGTGGGAAAACCTGTGATTACTGTCGAGATTGACAAACAAGTGTTCAGAAATCGGTACAGGCAAAAGAAAATGATGATAGCTAAAGGAAGAAAGGAAAGAAAGAAGAAAAATACATTGAAATAGCAGAGAGAAAAATATATTGATAGGAGAGAAGGAAAATAGCTGTAGACGCCATTTGATAGATAGATAGATAGATAGATAGATAGATAGATAGATAGATAGATAGATAAAAATGGCAATAGATAGATAGATAGATAGATAGGAATGGCAATAGATAGATAGATAGATAGATAGATCATGCCAATCTTTTTTCAAATAAACCTCTTTTTTCAGGATGTATGTGCCTTCTACTAATTTAATGTTAATTCTCTTAAAGATATTAGCAATCCTGTCTAAGTATTGACAGACTATAGATCCATAGATAGATAATAAACAGGCTAAGATAGATAGATAGATAGATAGATATGAACAGTCTGAGATAGATAGATAGATAGATATGAACAGAGATAGATAGATAGATAGATAGATAGATAGATAGATAGATAATGAACACAGATAGATAGATAGATAGATAGATAGATAATGAACATAGATAGATAGATAGATAGATAGATAGATAGATAGATAGATAGATAGATAATGAACACAGATAGATAGATAGATAGATTGATAGATAGATAATGAACATAGATAGATAGATAGATAGATAGATAGATAGATAGATAGATAGATAGATAGATAGATATAATCAGACTGTAATAGATAGAGAGATTGAGAAAAATACATTCATCGCTGAGAAGGAAATAGGTGTAGACGCCATTAGATAGATAGATAGATAGATAGATAGATAGATAGATAGATAGATAGATATGAACACTTTAAGAGATAGATAGATATGAACAATTTGACAGAGAGTGAGAGAAAGAGATGAACCATTTGAGAGATAGATATGAACATTCTGAGAGAGATATATGAACACTTTGAGAGAGATATGAACACTTTGAGAGAGAGAGAGAGAGAGAGAGAGAGAGAGATACATATGAACACTTCAGACAGAGTGATACATAAATGTAAATGTGAGAGAGATACATAGATATGAACACTTTGAGAGAAATAGATAGGTATGAACACTTTGAGATATAAAAAAAATAAATTCGCTTGAAGATGGAACAGAACTTGGTACTTTAATTCAATTTAATTCAAATAATTAAATTGAAGTTTTCGGCTCTTGTTTTGAAACATGAGAACTCTGATGTAGCGTTGGAATCATATTTTTAAATAAATAATTTTATTTATACTCTACTTTTGTATCGAGCACTATTTTTTTTAAAAATAATAACAAAAATACTAAAGAACTTTGGATTATTTACCTAACGAGTTCTTTCCTATTTTCTATATATTTTTACATATAGATAGATAATGCAATGGTGCACTCTTCAGACTAAACCCATGAAAACCAATGTCTTCAGAATCGCAGACTCTTTTGCGTCTTCTATATCGATCAGATTTAGCAGCTACAGAGTTTTATTCATTTCTTAAGTGGGAGAACATTCAGAAACCAATAAGATGTAAATATTATTTCAAAATTGACTTTTCGATTAAAAAACCCAGCTTTCAAAAACCTGCAATCTGAACTTTGCCGTAGTGGCATTGTCGCCCTATGATGGTGGAAATGATTTTTTTAAAAAATCCGAACACCGTAATATTTGTGAATATTTTACTTTATAATTGATTATTTCTAGTGAATTGGACTGATTACCGTCGGATTTTGTCGCCCACTTGATAGGAAAGGCATTTGATAGATATAAACAGACTGAGATAGAAAGACAGATATGAAGAGAATGAGATAGATAGATAGATAGATAGATAGATATGAACAAACTTAGATAGATAGATAGATAGATAGATAGATAGATAGATAGATAGATATGAAGAGAGTGAGATAGATATGAACAGACTGAGAGAGATAGATAGATAGATAGATAGATAGATAGATAGACAGATAGATAGATAGATAGATAGATAGATATGAAGAGAATGAGATGGATATATATCAAGAAAATGAGATAGATAGATAGATAGATAGATAGATAGATATCAAGAGAATGAGATAGATAGATAGATAGATAGATAGATAGATAGATAGATAGATGAAAAGAAAAATATAAGATATGTACGAAAAAGAATCATGTAGATAGAATGATAAATAGTCGTTAAATTTATTTAAAAATGTGATAATTGAGTGATAGATATGAACAGAATGAAATAGATAGATAGATAGATTGAAATATATGAACAGAATGAGATAGATAGATGAATAGATAGATAGATAGATAGATATGAACAGAATAGATAGATAGATAGATAGATAGATAGATATTAAGAGATTGAGATAGATATGAACAGAATGAGATAATAGATAGATAGATAGATAGATAGATATATAGATAAGATAGATTTAGAGATAGATATGAACATGAATGAGATAGATAGATAGATAGATAGATAGATTGATTGATATGAACAGAATGAGATAGATAGATAGATAGATAGATAGATAGATAGATATGAACAGACTGCGATAGATAGATAGATAGATAGATATTATAGATAGATAGATGGATATAGAACAGAATGAGATAGATAGATAGATAGATAGATAAAATATGAACAGACTGCGATAGATATTTATAGATGGATAGATAGATAGATATTAAGAGATGAATGAGATAGATATGAACAGAATGAGATAGATAGATAGATAGATAGATAGATGATATGATGGATAGATAGATATATATCAGACTGAGATAGATAGATAGATAGATAGATAGATAGATAGATAGATAGATAGATTGATTGATATGATAGAATGAGATAGATAGATAGATAGATGAATAGATAGATGAGATAGATAGATGTATGATGGAAATGCGATAGATAGATAGATAGATAGATAGATAGATAGATAGATAGATAGATAGATACTATGAACAGACTGCGATAGATAGATATAATAGATAGATAGATAATAGATAGATGCATATGATATAGAACAGACTAATAGATAGATAGATAGGAACAGATAATGGAATGGATAGACAGAATAGATTGATATGAACAGTATTAGATAGATAAATAGATAGATAGGAACAGAATGAGATAGATAGATAGATAGATAGATAGACATGAATAGAATGAGATAGATATGAACAGACTGAGATAGATACATAGATAGATATGAAGAGAGTCAGATAGATATGAACAGACTGAGATAGATAGGTAGATAGATACATATGAAAAGAATGAGATGGATATATATCAAGAGAATGAGATAGATAGATAGATAGATAGATAGATAGATAGATAGATAGATATCAAGAGAATGAGATAGATAGATAGATAGATAGATAGATAGATAGATAGATAGATAGATATGAAAGGACAATTATTTGGAAATATTTTTACCTTATACTTATTTATTTTCGGTGAATTGAATTATCTCCGAATTTTTTCGCCCACTTTTCTGCATGAAATTAGAACCATTCACTTGCAATCCTCACCATGTATCGGAGCCGTGTCCGTCCATAATCACATCTTAAACATTTAATGCGGTCAGGTATAAGATAACCGAGAATGAGATTCTTAAGGACAATCCTAAGAGGCTCGTAACTGTCGTTCTCTTGGCAGCGATATCAGCCAATCAAGGTGGGCTTACAAATGCCCCGGGGGTTAAAAACAGATTGATATTTGCAGGTATTTAATCCTCGTCTCTTCGTGAACTGGAAACGGAATTGAAGCATTCGAACATGTACATTTTTGTTTGATTTTAAAAAAAACCTTTTTTACAGTTAGGTTCACCTTGAACAAGGCCCGGGAGCCACTCGAGGTAGAGGGTTACGTTAAACCGCAGTTTATACGGATACGAGTGGAAGATAACGGTTAACCCTAGACTTGAACAGATGAAGATTGTAGTAACGGAGGAAACATCCACTTGGGAGCCGATCCCACAGAACAGTTCACGAGAAGAAGCTGTTTGAGTGGAACTTACTTCTCACCGATGGAATACGGGGGAAATATAGGTGGTTCACTACAATGTAAGTGGCACGGCGATGAATTCTAGGACCTGGCGGAACCAAGAAATGTAGTTCGTTCGAGCACTTTCCATGGAAAGCGATCAATATAGAACAGTGAATGTTGTCATATCCGGTCATGATCATTTGGAGGGGGGAATAATTCGATATGTTTACAAGGATAGATAGATGCTTTTAAACTATGGAGACTGGAAATAGACAGATCGAAGATGAATAATATTCAAGCCTTACCAAACTTTGAATTATGGCACTGTGTAGTCCTCCATATATTTTGACTGACCTTTCAACCAACTGATAAATATTAATGAACGTTCTCAAATTTAAAAGCCTTGATAAAACAATAACATCGTTGTTTTGATATAAATATGTGAACAAAATAAATCTTACATTTACATTGATAATGTCGTCAGAGGATGAAACCAGTTGGCTAAGATTAGTTTTTAACAGAATTCATTTTATTTTTTTTAGATACACACACACACACACACAGATATATATATATACATACATACATATATATATATATATATATATATATATATATATATATATATATATATATTGAATAATGAGATATGAAAAATCGACCTCATTTAAAGTGAATAGAAACATTCGACAACATATATATATAAATATGTGTGTGTGTGTTTTAAAAATTCAAGTAAAGACAACTGTCTTCAATATAAAAATAGACTGTATACATACACACACACACACACACACAATTATATATATATATATGAAGAAATATACCGTTAATGGATGCTTTATTTAAGAAAAATAAATGTGCTCAATATCCGATATAGAAATTGTAAAATATAAAATGATTTTTGAGAAATTATAGATTGATAGATGTTTTCATTTTAGATAAATCGTCATCCATGATTGACGATTGCATCTTCATGAAACAGCCTGTCGCCTCTAAATTTTGATTTATGTTTGTTTTTATATCATGTCTTTAATAAATAAATATATATATATATATATATAAAGACATATTTTATGTTTATACGTTCTTATTTTTACAGATACAAATATTTAATAGATAAATGCTGATTCATAATAAACAGTATTAATGGCATTTACAGGTCTTCCAACACGAATCGAACCTGCATCCTATATGGAACCTTCATATAGCCTGACGTGCTTTTCCGATTGAGCCAAGATTTGAGTATTTATTTTTTTCTCAATTTTACTGTTTTAAACTACAATTTTCCATGTAAAAACAGTAAAATAAAGTGGAGAAAAACGTCAAATAGATCCAGTGATGACATAATGTAAGTCATCATAATACCTCATCTCATATATATATATATATATATATATATATATATATATATATATATATATATATATATATATATATATATAATATCTATTTAGGGAAAAAAATACGCAAATACCTTGTAACTGTGTTGAATTCTAATTCCAAATTTAAAAATATCACTCGTTAAATTTACCTTGATAGATCTCTCAGATGATAAAAACGCGTTGGCTAAGAATAATTTTTTGTCTTGTCTTCTCATTATATTATAGATACACTATTTGAAAATAATTTACAATATATATATATATATATATATATATATATATATATATATATATATATATATATACATAAAATTATGTCTTTATTTTATTTTTATTTTGTCACCTGAGATAAAAAAAATTCACTAATGACAGATGATCAACAATTATCCAACAATCTTCACTGAACAAAATATTATAAAAAATTTAACCAATAAATTCCATGACGAACTGTCAAATGAAATCTATCAGGAAAAAAATCATAAAATACATTTTCATCATTTGCTGTTTCCTCAAAAATCAATAAAAGTCATCAACACCGCTTTGTTATCAACTGGAAATCATTAAATAATTATATTTCCTATATAAGATAATCTAAGTTTTTTTTCCTTGTCAGAATTTGTCTAGCATATTTATAAATCTACCATTCCTCCGTGCATCGAATATTGCTTCTAAATCTGGTCTTGTACTCTGATTCTCGACAAAATCTAAAGGGTCTGTAATGTTATCGATCTTGACCTCTAGACTTCAATCACTTTTCCAACGCCCTAACGTGGCGACCCTCTGTCTTTTCTATCAATATTTCCATGGCAATTGTGCACCTGGTAAATAGATCGAATTAATTTAAGCGTTCTACTGACGGGTTTTGAAATATTAGAAAATAAGCTATCTCGATAATAATTTGGCACAGGATATATATATATTTATGTATATAAATCATATATATACATTATATATATATGATTATATTTATATCATTATATATATATGATTATATTTATATCATTATATATGATTACATTTATATCATTAGATATATATATATTAATTTTCACATTAATTTTTAGTAAGGGCTTCCCTATTTGTTGTAGAGTAGTTTTTCACAGTGGAGACTTGTATTTCAATAAGTCGTCCTAAATTAGGTTCGACGTACAAAACGTTAGGAACTTGAAATAAGAGTTAATGAAGCAGCAATCTTGTTGTGATGGTTGGTACTTCAATGTCCGATATCGACTGACTCGCTCAACACCACTGAGCCAAACTGGCGACCGCTACTACTACTACTACTTATTATCTGTGGGAGAGTCTATTAATAATAGAATAGGTACGTCAAGTATAACCCTATTTCAGCTTTTTTTTAAGCAACTTTCCTTATTTGGAGAATTAGTCATATCTCGAGAATAGTTACAGGGATAATAACTCCTACCGGCTTCCCTTTACATCTCACACCACCACGGTGCTAAATCCTACATCTTTCTCCTACCCTTGTAGCATTCAACATCAAGGAATACATAAGTGTCTTTGTGACAAAACTAATTTTTAAAGCGCGTACCGGAAGGGTGGAGTAGATTCACGTCAGTAATTTTAATTCTTTATTTTCCTGGAATTATCTTTCCTTTGCGAAAATATAAACCAAACCTCTGATGACAGAACTTGTTTTCATTACTCCTGCCTTAATCGTACATACGGCCCGTTAAGGGAAATTCGTTCTCATTTAATCTTCTGAGCGAGATATTAAATTATTTTCCAAATTGTTTTCGTTAACAAAAATAGATTTGTTTGCCTAAATTCTCAAAGATGAGACAAAATCTTTCTCCATCCGTGGGCTGATCGCGCTCTTTAGCGGAAAGACATACCAGATCACCTGCTAGTCAGAACTAGATCGATTTTCATAACCTCGATCGGGTTCGTTGCCTCGTTTTCATTTTAAAATTCGTTTTCGTCAACGAAAATATCTTTGTTTGCCTAAATTCTCAAACAAGAGATAAAATTATTTTTTTGTCCACATGCCATACAATCGATAGACGAGAAAAATGTCTTGTCTTGACTTCTCCTCTCTCTCTCTCTCTCTCTCTCTCTCACACACACACACAGACACATATATTTGTAACTAACGTACTGTGGCCATTAACAATTAAGTATAGCTCAAGACTTTAATGTTAAAATAAAACAGTATTTCATTACAACCGCAAATGAATACTTAACAAGAATAAAGAAGTAAAAGTCAACCAAAGATAATTAACCATTTCAGTAAATACCTTGTTAGTAGCGTGGCTCGGCTTAACGTCCGGTAAATCCTAAATAAAAACCCAAATCATCGATAATTCACACTAATTCGACTGAATAGTTCCACTCAGTAGTCACACAATAATCACTTCAGTCAGTAGCCTGACACCGCTATTTATACACCTGGCGGGAAACATATATTCATAAGTCCAGAGGGTGAACCTCGCTGTCAGTAGTTACTCATTTTCTTCCTATATGACAGTATATATATATATATATATATATATATATATATATATATATATATATATATATATATAAGCTTCCACCCTATGTTCCATTTTGGTCTTAACCTTTTTCTGCTCAGAATTAATATTTTACCACCTTATGGTCTCGGTGTCATATATATACAAATTTTTATTAAAAACAGCTGACAAGGTACAGAGATTAAGTTTTTGTTTAATTTTTCTTGTGTTCGTATATTTTTTTCTTTTCTGGATATAAAGTAGGTAAAAATTGTTCGAATGTCCTATTCTTTTAGCCATTATCAAGGATGATTTTTATTTTTAACTTGAATTTTAACTTGAATATTTTTAACTGAATGCAAGGATTTTCTATGTATTACAATAACTATTTTAAAATTAACCGTTGTAGCTTCGATGCGTTTT